ACGATGAGTGAGATGCTTCTTAGACCAAGCCAAGTGCTAGAGGGGATTCCCCCCAGCACCTGACCAGGAGCTTCCCCACCAACGACAAGGTCTTGCATCTCCTAGGGGAAGAAAACGCCTTGCGTAACCATCTTCTGATATCGATATTTTAAAACCGATATGGATATTTAGGATATAATATCTCATCGATATTTTCTGAATATCGATAAGATGCTCATCTCTAACTCGTGGTACTATATGCATGTAGTATCTATGCTTTGGAAGAATTTTATAATGTGGAAAAGGACCTTGAATCGAACGAATATGGCCGGCCACTATAACAAGTCGATGAAAAATCGCGTTTAATTGGTCCGGTGTAACCGTGTTCTGTTAGGAATGACATTCTTTCGCTGTCTCACTTTCACATAGAAGAGATATATGGGTTATGGCGCAAATCGTAGATGAATGAACACTTGGATACGCTTGCTAAAGAGACTTCAGAGCTTTTCGACTATCTTCGATCCCTTGATGGGCTGTCACCCAGAGTAGGAGGAATTTATTTTCTCTGACTAATTTGTTCAGTTCCCCTAGATACTCTTTAACCAATTTAGAATCGACGGGGACGGTTATTGAGTTGATCGCTCTTAAGGCTGCTTTTCCCCCTACTAGATCTATAGAATTTGTCCAACGAACAAGATAACCTGCAAAAATGACAGAGAATACAATCTACTTTTTAATTTAAATTACAGAAAACAACTGTCAGTGTCATTATTCTACTGATAACTTTTAGTGATACCAATTAAAGTTAGGTTTTATATTTAGTGGTTTGAATAAAAATATGAAGGAAGTAAAATTTCGCCAAAATTATCATCGATTGTCATTCCGTCATATTGTGATATTTAACTCTTTATAATTCAGAGAATGACCCTAGATATTATGTAATGAGAATGATAGGTTCGAAGAAACACTACGCTTGTTATAGTTAGTTAAGAATAGGCGCTTGAGAATGTCGGGTGGCTCTTATGTAATCCTGAGCCTTACGATGGAATAAAGAAGTTATAAAAGAAATATACTGTTTTATTTGGAAAATACGAACTCCATTCAGACATCAGAAGTGGGATAGGTCTACTAAAAGTGCCACAAATGTTTTAAAAAGTTCCAATATACCATGGTGTGTGTGAATCCATAAATGCTGGAAAATGCAAAAAAAAGCAATAAGTCTAGCAATGCTAGTGAGTAAAAATGGATGATAGTACCTACCTACAGAAAAATTTGTAAATTGGTTATTACGAAAAAATCCTTTCGTCGAACTGCATGAATCCATTGTTTCTATTGATCAAATCTAAATCTTGATCAATAATTTCGACTTTGAAAACAATTTTAGAATCAAGGCAAGGTTTTAAAATATTTCTTCATGATAATGTTATTTATGCCATATGTCGTGTAAATTCTATAAACGAATCAAATTCTTTGACCCACTATAGTATTATTTATTGATATTAAGATATAAATGTCCCAAACATTCAACTTGAGGTATAATTAAACTTATTTTGTTGCAGATAATTTATTGTAAAATTACATAGTAATAATAACTAAATGATCGTTCAGTTACATAGTTTAAGTGCTTTATAATTCAGTAATTATTAATAACAATCTGACAAACTATGATATTGTTTTATTGAAATTTTATTACATATATCGAGACTAGTTATCGATGTGTTGTAATACTTATTTTAATACTAAGATTAATATTTGATCAGTGGTATTGGTATAAAAAAAAGAAAACACTTGTTAACAGATAGCTTTCAAGTGTGTTTTTTAATTTGCTTAAAACGAGTAGTCATTTTTCTAGGTATATCTATAAAAATATACTTATGTCGGTTTTTATTATGTTTTTTTATTGACATTGTTATAAAAATAGAATGCAGTGTAATTAAATATTTTTAATTAGAGAAATTTGTGTTTAGTATCGCTAACCCTTTTAAAAAAGGAGTTAATGAAAATGTTACCGTCTTTTAAATTAAATAAAAAGTAATAGAAATAGTGTATTAAAAACAGGACAGAAAATAACATAATAAAAATTAATAACAATTTGTAAATTAATACACTGACAGATATAACCACAGATTAGGTATCCTATAAGTATACAGATAAAAATCTTGTCCCTAATTCGTGGTACGAAAATTGTTTTTATGACGATGTGCAAACGAGTAAAATTTCCTGTGCGCAAAAATAAACTCGCGTAAAATAACAATAAACAGCGTAATAGAGAGATATCGCTAAACTGAATAGCGTGCATGGACGTTAATAAGGCCAGGTGTTATTTCCTTTACGTGAGTTGGTATTAACTCTCTTCATTTATAGTTATCGGATCGGAAAGAATTCTGTTCGCGTCGCGTCCGCTATTTAAACTTAACCTAACTTTGAATTTAAAACTTTAAAATTGTTTTCTTTCCTAGGTATTTTAAAACTAAAGGGCTAAAGTGCTTATTTCCAGTGCTTTATTGTTCAACGTCTGCCAGTGGGTTTAGGGCAACAAGCAATAAATTCTCTTAGAAGGGCTAAGGCGTCATCTGCTGTAAACCTAAGCCTCTTTGTAGGTTCTTTAATATTGAAAGAGGTGGAATCCATATTTTGGGCCATATTTATTTAATTAAAACTAATCCCAGCTACTTAAATATCAAATTACCTAATAAAAAAAAACTAAAGTAATAATTAAAAACAATTCAAACATAACCTAAAATAAAAGATCTCGCCGGCCGGCCCCGGTTGTCAAATACCCGCACATGCCCATTTAAGCAATTTTTAAACGTTATTTAGAAATAGCGCTTGGTGTAAGGTGTAATTGATCCGCAAATTACGTCAGGCGGTAACGTTATTAGCGGGTGTTGCGTTAAAAATTGACTCGCGCATATCGTAACCATGATAAGGTACGCGTAAATACTGCATGACGCTACTCCGTTTTCCGATATCTCTCTAATAACTGTGCCGGTCAGGCGCTGTGCACTATTTTAGAGGCCATAAGTGGGCGTGCTATGTGCGCAAACTAGTAACCTAACTAGTGCCCGATTCCGAAAATTGGAACCACGAAAAACAATAATGAAAAACAAAGTTTATAATCTGTATAATCTGTGATATAACTATGAAACGGGTCATTACAATTGGTGCTACATTTTGTGACATTATCATTATATATTTTCATCCGCTAAATGGATTTTCAAACAAATTTCACGGACGGGTAGCCCCACTAATTGTCTACACAGTGGCATAGCAAGTTTAATTTTTCTGTTTATTTAATATAATATATCTACAGGATAAAGTAAGAAGTTGTTATTTATTACATTATTATACAGGGTGCTACAAATTCGAGGTACCAGTATTGGTATCTCGGTAACCGTAATAGATACGAACATGGTTAAATTGGGACAAAGTTGCGCTTTGGGATGTTCACCAAGATGCCGTCAAAAAAGTTTTAAAAATGTCAAGGATTGCTGAGTGTTTTGGTAAAAACGTTTTTTTTTGAAAATTAATTTTATTTTTTCCTGTCGTTACTTTTAAGAAAATCAAAAAACTAATTGCACATTCTCATAGCCACTTTTTAAGGGCTATCTGATATCATTTTTAGATTTTCAAATTAGCTGATAATTTGTGAGATACAAAGGCCAACTTAATTTTTTTAAATGCGGACCTGCATTTTTTATTTCCGGTTTTGAAAAAACTCGGTCTTCTGAATACAATGATATGCCACACTTTATACGTTTTGTTGTTTTGGGTACCTTAACAAAAAAAACTATTTAATTATTATTTAAAATAATTTCAAGTCCGACTCTGTTTTTTTAAATTATTTAATCTGATTATATTCATCGCAATAATATTGATCAGCGCTAATTAACATTGAATAAGTAAAATCGAGCCAATTGGAAGATTCAAATAAATTATATCCAGGTCAGCAATTTAAAGATATTATTTTTTACTTTTTTTATTGTGAATTTGAAATCTCGGTGTGTGATCTAATAATATGCGTAATATTCATCGTAGTTATTATAAATAAATCAACTTCTACAAACTAGTTTCTAATGATCTACATGTTCGAAAGGGTTACCACCCTCCCTTTTGCACAAATTAATTTTTTTATTTATAGCTCTTTGAACTTTCTTCTTATACTTCCGAAAGCATTTTGTACTCTTTATTGTAAATGTTGAGATGTATTGATTTCACTTTTACAAATAATGACTTGAAGAAATGTATTCATTTGTACATTATTTTTTATTATTTTATTGCATTTGATTTTCCATATTCAATGTTTTACCCCACGTCATTATTAAATTTGAAAGCTTATCAATATTGTAACGATGAATAGATTAAATATTTAAAAAAACAGAGCCGGACTTGAAATTAGTTAAGATAAATTGTGTTCAAATATCCGAAACAAAAAAAAAATAGTGTGGTATATCACTGTACTCAGGAGACCGAGTTCTTTCAAAATCTTAAATAAAAAATGCAAGTCCGTATATTATCAGCTAATTTGAAAATCTAAAAATACTGTCAGATAGCCCATACAAAGTGGCTGTGAGAATGTGCAATTAGTTTTTTGATCTTCTTAAAAGTAACGACAGGAAAAAATAAAATTAATTTTCAAAAAAACCGTTTTTCCAAAAAACAGCAATCTTTGAAATTTTTAAAACTTTTTTGATGGCATCTTGGTGAACATCCCAAAGCGCAACTTTGCCCCAATTTAATCATGTTCGTATCTATTACGATTACCGAAATACCAATGCTCGTACCTCGAATTTGTAGCACCCTGTATAGGAGATCTCAGTGACACCCGCATCAATGGAAGCTTCAACGCTGTAAGTAATATAGCTATTAAAACTCGTACTGCATTAATGGCAGAATCAATAATACTAATTTTCATTATATTTGTACATCATCAATGTTATAAGACTATTTTTAGTAAATAAAAATTAAAAATCTTATCAATTTAAACTTTTATCCTTATAATCGGTTCTTATTTATTTCAGGAAAAGCTTGCAACATGTCATAGACATCAGATAACGATCGAAAAATAATAAAACGATCAATAAACGAACGAAATTTGAGACTAATTCGAATCCAAGGATAAAAAACAATGGAGAACAATTTGTTTTCCAGCTCAGCTCTATTCATCTACATTGTTGCCGTTTTGAACGTGGTTTATGGACAAGAAACCCCTTCAACTACCACGCCATCTTGCTATGGCGGTGGTTCGATCGCCACGGCTGTCATTGTGACGTTTTTCCTAACGTTACTGCTGGTAGCTGCGGTGCTGTATTTTTGGCAAAGAAGACAGAAAAACAACAAAGGTGAGTTTAGCCAATATTTTTAAATGTTCCCACCATTATTGATTATTGTTTTTTTTCTGTAAATATTTCTGAGATCACCTTTATACTAAAATTTATGTAGGGGTGGGATTGGTATTCATCCTTCCTGTACTTTTTCTTGATTTTTGCGAAAGTCAAATGTTAGAGCACTTAGCAAAACATAGACACCCAAAATCTCATTCCAATCGGAATAACGAAAAACTTGAAACTTGAAATATCTGAAAAAATGTGTTTATTTTTTTAAAGTTTGATGCCCCCTAGCGGGCGAACGAAGCACTTTTGTATAGGGGTAAATTGTGTTTAATGAACTTATTTTGATCCAAAAATACGTAGTAGTTCTAAAGCTTCATTCAGAATGGAATTCATTAGTGGAATAAATTTGTGGTTACAATTAGCGTAGATGTTTGTTCCTTTATTTCAATGTCAACATTCAGAACGTCAAAATTAGTAGTAGGCATTTTCAGTTAGTAGAAAAAGTTATCAAACTTTTTCTACTAGAAAGTAGAAGAATTTTCAGTTAGTAGAAAAAGTTATCAAACTTTTCCACTAATTATCCTTTAAAACTTGCGTGAAATGTCATTTTGGCCTTTGATTATCTTCCGCCAAGAGAAATTGTTCTAAAAATATACTTATATCGGTTTTATGATGTTTGGTTTTTAAGTTGATTTTTTTATAAGCTAAATATTAAGCTTTCTCTATTGATACAACGACTGGATATTTTATTAATTTTAATTGTGTTTTTAGGGTTCCGTACCCAAAGGGTAAAAACGGGAACCCTATTACTAAGACTTCGCTGTCCGTCCGTCCGTCCGTCTGTCTGTCACAAAGGTCTATCTTATGAACCGTTATAGCTATAGACAATTGAAATTTTTACAGATAATGTATCTATGTTGCCGCTATAAGAACAAATACTAAAAACAGAATTAAATAAATGTTTATAAATAAAAAAGTACTTTCACTAAACATTATCTTTTAAGTAAGAATTTTAATCTTTCAAGTCCTCGGTGGCCGCGTGGTTAAAGGCGTTAGGACTTTACGCTGCTATGACGTTGGAGCCGTAGTAAGGCAGGTTCGAATCCTAGTCAAGGCGACTTTTTTTTAATCGTTTTTTTTTAATTTTCACATATTTTTACATATTTATTTTTACTTTTTACATATTTATTATTGATTAATACAATTTTTAGTAATGTGTTTCTTCATTTTTTTTTAAATTACTTATACGCGCATTCAAAATTTCAGCTGAGTCGGAAAAAAGTTTATAATAATATTGTGTCTAATGTTCTACAGGGTGTCCCACTAAGAATAGCTCTTGGCTGTATCTCGGAAAGTATTAGCCGTAGGGGCTGCGGAAAACTAAAGAGGCTCTGGGAAATTGCTGGAAATTATTTTAAAGTTTGTAGAACAACCGCTAGGGGGCACAACTGTACCAAAAAATAAGAAAATGGAGTTTTTACACAATTTTGCCTAGATAAGGTGTACTATATGTAATAGCTTCATAATCTTCAGTAAATTTTGAATATTTTTTGTTAAAGCCATTTTCCCCTATCTACCAAAATAAAGTGGTGGGGGAAGGTTAGATCTGTTTTTATTTAAATATAAATAACTCTGGACTGGATGATCGGAATCCAACAAGCTTTTAAAAGAGCTTTTCTTACTCTATATTGTACCATATAAACAATAATAATAAGCTTTTGAACGTAGACGCTAGGGGACGTTGTCTTACAATTTAACAAACATTGCGCGTTTTTTCAAAAAAATTAAATGCAATAGTATATGTAATTTTATCTGATAGTAAAGAGTAGTAAAAGTTTAAAAAGTCAGCGAAAACCGCATCTTAATATCTTCTTTAAACCGAAGATATTAGCAAAATTATAATAAATACCAAAAATAAGCCCTTAATTACCTTATTTTTACAACACGGTATCAGTAGCCCTCTTAATTATGCCCATTCTAACAAAAAAATATGATAGAAACAGTTTATTTTAAAATCGACGAAATACCAGAATACCATAATACCAGAGGTATTAATATCTAATAATTAAGATATTAATAACAGTGAACAAGAAACGATGATTCAGTGAAGTGATGGTAGGCTTTGGAAAAAAGTTGCTTTTGACGTAATAGTATAAACGTCAAATTGTTATTAGATCAACATTTTGATAGTCTTATCAGCGTTTTTTATCTTTTAATTGCTTTTTCAAAATGCCAACATCAACTATTTCAAATAATAAAGGCATTTAAAGGTACAATATAGAGTAAGAAACGCTCTTTTGAACGAGCCCTCGCTTGTTGGATTCCGATTATCCAGTCCATAGTTATTAACCCAAGTAGCAAAAGAAGTTCTAAAAGGATTGAATTATTTTATAACAGTCGAATAGCGTTGTCTTAAGTACTGCTTGATTTTATTAAGCGTTTGGTTTCCACCATTCTGTTTTTTATAAAAGTTGTCATATTAAACTATTGTCTAGTGGTTTTTACAACGTATCCTATAACGCATTAAACGATAATTTCTTTTAGTATGATATAACACTTAATAAGACAATGCTATATGATAACAAACATATTATTTTATTAGACTCTTATACCCACCATGTAAGAGTTCTATAATATTCTATAACTAGTAGTCACAAGATCATATAATAGTTACTTAAACTTGTCTTATTAAAGTTGTATTACGTTGTATGATAGATATTTTATTGCGTTAAACTACGGTGCTGTATACAACACTAGTTATATAGCCTGCATTATAAAACTGGTTAAAAAATAAATATGTAACCTCATTATAAATTAAATAATATAACCTCATAGTTAAATGGTATACCTAGTTATTTATTTTGTTATTGTTGTTGTTGCAAAAGTAATATCTACGTACGAGTATAATCAATCACAGCTATTATGAATTCTGGACAAAGTTGGAAAAAAAGTTGACAAACGCAGTGGTAGTTATAAAGAGCATGTAAGAAAAACTCATCGAAATTACGACAAATAATCCCGAGAATTCCCTGGGTTCCCAAAAGCCAAAATCTCTCAGGTTGTCTGGCTTCTTCAAAGCATTGTTGCCACGTTGATGTAAAAGTTTTACTGTAGTAATGTTTGTATTGTTTTATTGTTGTTTTTCCAAGCCCTTAGGTTGCCGCTCACTCGTCGGGCATGCATGAAATGCATTGCGTGCATGAATCCATGAAAACCTGATCATGTTTGTTAGTTTAAATACTAATCAAATGAGATTGGGCAACATCTATTTGTCACAAATCTCAATATGCCAAAAATAGTTCTATAGTGCCTGGAAATTCTGCGTAATGATAGATATTTATCCAATACCGTTTTATTTTACAACAAAGATTTTATTTAAGGGATTCATTTATAATAAAATGGTTGTATTATAATTCGCCATGTTTAAGGCAAAATTTTTGTATGGCTTATGGCCGCCATTATATGAAGCAAAATTAAAAACATCAAAATAAATTGTAAAATGTTATTTTTGAGAACTATTTTGTGATAAGATTCCCACATACAGTAATAAACTGTTTAATTAAATTAAAAACAAGAATTTTTGAAAATGTTATTTTATTTTATTGTTTAAATTTATACGTAAACCTTAATCGAAATTAAAGCGCTTTAATTTTTGCCAAATACATACCTATAATCTACCAGTAAAATTTTCGGCGCAACAAAAATTGTCCCTACTTTTCAAACCCTATTAATGATTTTTTATATTACATATTTGTTGTACCTTCTGGCTCTACCCGCCATTTTCATTGTCGAGTAAAGTCTCCTTTTTAACAATCCACATCCTCTAGATTCATTTTACGACACGCTTAAAATATAATTTGCTCCTAATATTCTTCGGTAAAAATAAAATACTTTTTTACCTCGCTAAATGATCCAATGTTTTTATTGTTCTGTTTCTTAGATGTGATCACGTAATACACAATAAAACTAGTTTTATAATAGTTATATAACGCTGTGTAAAATAGTTGCATAAGAGTTGTATACCCTTTTTATAGAACTTCTATACTACTAAACGGTTGTATAAAAATGGGCCTTTTTTGGTTGTAAAGCTGTCATATTACGGTCTTATAGCACGTTATATGAATTGAGGTATCCTATAAAAATGATCACATAGCTGTTTATACAGCCTTTATAAAATAAAATTTGCCACTTGGGTAATATTTAAATAAAAACAGATCTAACCTTCCCCCACCACTTTATTTTGGTAGATAGGGGAAAATGGCTCTAACAAATAATATTCAAAATTTACTGAGGATTATGAAGCTATTATTTATAGTACACCTTATCTAGGCAAAATTGTGTAAAAATTCCATTTCCATATTTTTTTGTTGCAGTTGCGCCCCCTAGCGGTCGTTCTACAAACTTAAAAATAATTTCCAGCAATTTCTCATAGCCCCTTTAGTTACAAATATTTTTTTCCGTAAACCCTACGGCTAATACTTTCCGAAATACAGCCAAGAGCTATCCTTAGTGGGACACCCGGTATAGATAATGAATGGTACGGAACACTTCGTGCGCGAGTCCGACTCGCACTTGACCAATTTTTTAAATATTGTGAATGATCGTAAACTAAAAAGTATAAAGTGTAATTGAAATTTTACTAATTTATTCCACTAATTGCGGGGTTCTAAATGAAACTTCAGATGAAAATTAGAACACCCTGTATACTAATACCTATTTATAGCAATATGACTTTTAAAATAACAATGATTAAGTAATTGCCTAGGCAAGTAATTATTCACAGGAATTTTGCGGTTTAAAAATTATGTTAGTAGGTATACACTAATTCCAACATTCATATTTAATATTTATTTATGAAAATAGATATATGTACTCTCTTATCTACTGTAAAGGCACAGTTTATTGAGTACCATTTGGTCGTCTTTGTTTGTTTTTAAGTACCCGAGTGTCACTTGTTGCCCCTATTTCGGACACATGCTAGCAATTGACCAGTACCAATCTGGTACCAT